CCCGTGGTAATCGGCTACTCCAACGCTATAGAAGGAAATGTCGAGCACGAGGAATGAACGATCAAACCGTAAAAATGTAATTGACAATGCATCAAATCAATAATTCCATTCATCAAACTCATTGGGAAATAGACCACGATAAAATGATGGATGATTTTTTGGTCAGGAATGCTAATAAGGATGTTCAAGTGTGCATGTTCTATGGAAACCAAGTACGATCAAATGATGAACAAAAAACAAATACGATGTTTTTCTGTTGTATAGAACCAAGGCAAGAATTCATCATCTACAAGAACACATCAAAAAATGAAAAACCATTACGATTTACCTACAGATGATTGGAAACTGACATGCAAACTCTTACCAAATTATAAGACCTTGTCTTCTCATGAATTCAAACGTTTACTCTGCAAAACTATTCCAACGGATCATTATCAGATTCAACAATGGTTAGCAAATACTGAAATGTTACAATTCTCACAACAACTTGCTATATTCATGTGTACTTCCTTTCAATTGAAAATCGAAGAAGACTATTGGTACTACATTGGTAATTTAAACATGTCTGTTGTGACTTAGTTATCAGAAGTATCGAAAGATGTAATAGAAAAAAATTCCATTAATTGGGATCATTCGAAAACAAAACTAAATATTCAATATCAACAAAATCTCATTCGAAATAAATTACAACGGCTAGAAATTAATTTATACAATTATTTACAACGATATTCATCATACTTAAAAATGAACGATGATAAAATGTCTTTTGAACAATGGATGAAGATTATATGCAATGCTCTTGTTGTACTCATGCAAAATGATTTGCATCATTTCAATACAAATTTTGAACAGAAGAAAATCTTATTTACGTATGATATCCATGATGTACATCTTGTCAAATCATTCTATGATTTAAATCCAATAGAAGAACAGGTGAATATTTTATTTAGCCTAACTTTCTCTTATTCTTCTTCTTATAGGTTTATTCTGCTCAACAAATATGGCGATCAAAATTAAGAGCATGTGAGAAGGTTATTAGTCAACAAAAGAAACGTTGGTCAAGGAGTAATCATGTTATCGTTAAAGGAATAATTCCAGGTAATCATTCAATAACAAATATGAAACAAAATGAATTCGACATTGAGGGTAGTGATCAAAAGAATCAATTATCATCTATGAAATGCTTTTCTCCTTCAATGCGTGCTATTATTCAAGCTCGTCTCGATAATATCGACCAACGTGCTCAACAAATTATAAAATTTATTCATGCTTCTTCTCAAGAATAAAGATCAATTCCTTATGATAAATTTTACCTACTCTAGCATTCTCCATCGTTCATTTTAAGCAATATTGTAGAATGTAGTTCTATTGTAACACTTCATTCATTTCTTTTTTTGTGTCATGTTTCATAGTTTGTTTTTCGAGTAGTAAACAAATTTATCTTCTGATGTTTTGCTTTTCTTTTTTCTTCTAGATCTCACTTTCAGAATTCTATCTTTGTTTTGTTGTCTCCAATTCAATTTCAAATGACAATGACAACATCAAATCTCAAATCTACTAAAACTATTACTCGTCGTAGTACTGTTTCTGACCCAAAAGTAAGACAGAAGAATAACAAAGATCTTTCTATTCTGTGAACAATGATTTTCTTCTTAGATAGTCAATGAACAAGTCCTATCGAAAGAGCTTGACCAATTTTCACCTTTTAAAATCAATTCAACAAAAAAACAAATAACAAAATTTCCTATAGAAATCATTCTTTCGAAAACAATTGGTAGTGAATGGCAATCTATATCCGACTATCTTTGTTCAAAAAATCCATCTTTTGAAAAGAAACTTCGAACCATTTTACCATCAACAATAAATTTAGATGAAATAAGAAATATTGCTATTCGTATGCATAAAATTATGTCGATTGACATAGTACAATCTTTCTGGATAGTCTATCGAAAATATGGTATGGAAGAAATACAATCCAAACGACCAATCAATGAATCCGATACAAAACTTTGGCCAAAAGAAGTTTCATCACTCATGAAACAGTTAAAAAATGATAATATTATTGATGAAAGTAGTTGTTTAATTTTTGCCAATCAATGTTTACAAGAATTGTACAATAAAAAGGAACATTATCGACGCGAATTAAATGTCAAGACCACTCGTTTATCTGGTTATGACTGTAGCATCGAATATACCATTGAAAAATTTGTACAACAAGGACTTCAATCTTTACATATTGAAATCAATGAACATATTGGCACGGTTCAATATCATTATACCAATATAATATTTCAACAAACTTATTTTGCTCAAAATTGTAATACAAATCAAGTAAACTTCTTTTATATCGAGCTTATTTTATCTTATTATTTTAGATACAATCTTCGCTCTTAATCATATAAAAAAAGAAATTAGATAGGAAAAACAAAAACTTTTTTTCATTCATATCCTTCTCTCTTTCAGATAGAATCTTGACGCAAAAAACAAAAATATAATCAGTATAAAATACGAAAGAATAGCAAAAATTCAAAATATTTTCTATTGCATATGGATTTCAATACAATTGATTTAACTCGAGCAGAACAAGCTACTTCTTTGTTAATTAATAATGAACAACAAGAATATCAATCAAGAATATTATTAGATAAAAATAATGGACGATATGCTTATTTACCTATATTTCCAACAGAATATGTTGGTCCAAATGAGTGTTTACTTTTGGCTAATGTACCAGGTTCGTATGTTCGATATAAATTGATTATAAATCATTTCATTGCATTGTCTTTTAGTTAATCGTCTTGCACCTCATCAAATTAATCGACGTCAATATGGAGCCTATACTTTCGATGCACTGATGCTGATGAATAAGTACAATTATTCCGATGAATTTAGTTTATCTGAACAAGATGCTAATGAATTAGCTTCACGATTACAAGTAGGCAAATCAATAATTACTTTCAATGCACAACGACTT